GAGGAGGAAGAGGAGGAGGAGACAGAGAAGGAGGAGGATGGAAGTGGTGGTGCAGAAGAATTCACAGAGTTATTCGGCGGCAGAGAGGACGATGACGCGGGCGGGGGGATGAAGTTTGGTGCAGTTCGAGAGGTACAGTTGATCCGAAGATGTCCAACAAGGCCGATTCGAGCCCGGAATGTCCGCTTACATCGAGTACACGTTGGAAGCAGTTGTGCGGCAGCATTGCTGACTGGGCGCAGTTGTGATTTGCGGGCTTCGCGTTTCGCTTTGGCGGCGGCGATGCGGTTGGCTTCGTGGATAGCAGCGCCCGTCTTCACTGTTCTCCTCCATGCCGGACGATCTCAGGCGAGCTCTTCCCAGTTGGTCGGGTTGATTTGCAGTAGCTTCAGGGAGGACTTCAGGGTATCCTTGTATCGACGAATTGGGCCTCCTTGACGACGAGAACCCGTCGCGACGTCTCCGTAGAAGAGTCGTTTGGGTGGTCGCTCGTCGTCCATGCGCATTGAGAAAATCAAATTTCATGAGCGTACGCTGCTGATTATTCCTCCTCAGGTCTGCATAGTAGTATAAATTACGATAAAGCAGCGGAAGTTGAATGACGGCCAGCGAACAATGGGTATGTGGGAGAGTGTTGAAGGCGTTCAGACATTCCAGACATCAGGGTTAATTGTGGTCGAGTTCTGTCAGGAGCATGGGGGAGGGAGACAATCTGATTGTGAGTCTTTCCGATGCTTCGGCACTATAGCGCAATGTGACAGGACGCGGGAACGGACATGTAGGGCTCAGCTAAGGCCAGGGGAGCTCGAGGGTTTGTAAAAACCTGCTGTGGGCATAAATTAGGGTTGGCTAACCATTTGGCCACTGTCTCTTTCAACTAAGCGAGCCACAAGTGCGCTAGAGATGGACTTTTGCATGCCCTGATTTGGCCAGGCAGGAAGGCGGCTCGCATCCGCTTGGATAGGCACCCAGTCGTTTGGCCAATATAATCTGCGCCAATATGGCAAGAAGGCATAACGAGTGTTTTGTCCACGTTTTCTCAAAGCGCAGCAAGATGTTAGTTGACAGATACATAGATACTGCAGCGGTAACCTAATTTCCTGGTTTCGGGATCATCAACGCTTATAACGGATTGGTAACAAAGTGTTATTTACAACCTACCGATAGGTAAGTCCGACCCCAATTCCGACACTATATGCGCCACTCACTTCGCGAAATGGTTATTTAATAGTTTATTTGAGGGCACCTGACAGAGAGAGCGGACTGTTGCTCCGTGCCTCCAGCGTTTGCGGAAGACACCAATTGTCCAATGCACAAAGGTGCCTCTCAACTACGGCAAGCGAACAACAAGCCATACTCGTAAAAGAAACCTTTTTTGATGGTAGTCCACATGTGCGGAACATCACTTTCTGTCAAGTCGTTAGAGAGACGGTAACAAATGGGAGATGGCACCCAAAAAATCCGTTACCTAGAAATAATACCTACTCTATCTATTTCAGTAGGTTATAGTCCTACATATTAGTTGTTTCATCTGACCTCGGTTTCATCTGACCTGCAGTCTACATGCTGCTTCACTTAGACTTATCATAGTCTCCAACAGTTGAGACCAGACGAACCTGCGGGAAAACAGTCGACCGTATCTGCACACTCTAGACTCGAGGAATATTTAGTAATCTATAGGAGAGAAGGCAACTCCAGCGCATTTTTGCCATTATAACCACGACTACTTATACCTCCACTACAGAAATCTAGAGTCTCGTAAATCTGGAATCATTCCTCACTAACGCACAGACAAGGACGCTGACGTGAGCGAACTTCTGTATGTCTTGCTCAACTGTGGATGCATTTCGCATGCAACAGAAGCGCGCTTCTCTATGGCCGATGACCCACCGGCGTCCAAAGAAGCTCAAACAGGCATGTCGGCAGCTGGTGACTAAGTAATGTAGGACAACCAGATCGGGGAACCCTCGAAGTCTTGTATTTTTCTATTATCAGTGAGAACGCAAATAGGTCCCATCGGCACAATTGGTCCTCAAAAGGTCCAATCGAACCGAGTCCCTCCGTAGCTCATTGGACAGCGGACAGTGCACCTAGAATGAACCATGCCATCTATGCTCTGGACCAATACGGGGCTAGATAGGAGCCCGGCAAGCGTTATCAGAAATAACAAATGAAAACATTAGGGTGTGGTGACAAGCTCAATTGCAGGCTCACGCTACGCCCACTGAAATCGAGGCAACCCCCAATATTAGTTGCTGCTTAAAATCCTGGTCAAGTGTTTGTTGTGAACTAGGGTTTGTGGTGGTACGCCGAGGTGCGAGTTTAGGGCGTGCCAGCCACCTGCGGCCTCTCCTGCCTCCAGTCATCTTGACTTGGTCATGACACCGGGCCCAGGTGGGGGAGGAGAGGGTGCAGTAGATGCTACACAAGTCTGATACTGATATAAACTGAATCACGCGCAAGTCACCGTCCCTGTTCTCACCCTGCTGCCGAGAACGCGATGGACATCGCCGAAACCGACAGTCGAGCTGTCGGTACTTGACGATCATTGCAATTGGGCAAAAAGCCTATGAAGACAGTTAGTAGCTGCGTTTTCAGTGTGCCGAACCAGATATGTCGGTAATAACATACTGCCTATATCATGCGCCGCTGTGCGGCTGCTGGTTGGGCTCGAGAGAGAGAGCCCGTAAGGCACAACGGAACGAGTGAGTCCCGTAAGAACGATCGGTGGACACCCCCCCACCATAAAGGGCACTGCCTACCACCTGATCGGCAGATACTGGTGTTCCGTTAAAGACAAGAACACACTCATAATTTTTGAAGTTGAAAGACGGGAAATAGAGGAATTTTCAAATTCAAAATATGTGCTATAAGGTCAGACGAAGTTTTCTCCGTGCCCCCTAAAAGCGAATTTCTAACGCGTAAAGCAGAGCCAGACCCCTCGAAACACCGATCAATATATTAGTCCCAGATACTTGAGTCCTCCGTGTTTGCAGTACTGATGCCGGAACCCCAAGCACAACCAAATTTACTACATACTGGCTCAGAGGAGAGTGCAGCCACGTTATTTGTCTTCAAGAAAAACACACCGAATTCG